CACTTATTTCAGTGTTATAAACTTCAAAATCATCAGATGCTAGTCAGTCTAGTTGGCTTTTTTCCATATATCTTGCAATTCAGCAGCATTGTGCCTGTAGTGAGAGACAGAATAATCTTGCTGCTTGCGATTTTGTGTCATAAACAATCAGGTTGTGTTAGTCTGTCTTTGAATATACGTGCAGTAACAGCAGGAGATGCTAAAGCGGGTCTGTTGTTAGGCAGAACGAGGCTCCAGGGAGCGGCAGATCTGTTATTACACCTGAAGCCCTGCAGCTCCAATTATTTGCCCCCCTCTTCTCTGCCCTTACTCGCACTTTTCCAGCTTAAACGGCTCTGGAGTGACAGGCCGATATAACCTGGCTTCGAATGAGATCAGTCCTCTGTCAGCACACACTGAACTCATTCTGGACACACAGAGCAGGTGCTCAGATGATAAATAGACTGGCTGAGAGAGAATGAGTCTGGATTGGATGTTATGGAAGATTGTTTACTTCTTCTTCTGTCTTGTGTTTAAATTGTACTCTATCAAGACACAGATAAAGAGAGAAGAGGAGATATGCAAGGAAAACCAATGAAATCATCAGTTTTTGTCTGCTGGGGAGCTGACAAATGGACAGAGACAAGATTTTTTATTTTTTTTAAGAATCAAAATTGTATGTTAATTTATATACTGGCATATGGGAAAGTATGTTTTAGATGCTATAATTGGCCATTTTTTAAACAGTTTATCACCACTATTAATCAACTGTTAGATTTCACTTGCTCATTTCACAGTGTGACATGATTTTTGTTAAAGTAAAAATATCGATCATTAGGGATGTAACGATACACTCAACTCACGATATACTGATTTCACGATACGATTTTCTAACAATTTTTTTTTTTTTACAAATTGAGATTTAAAGACAAATTCTAAATGAAAAGGTGTCCTTTTTTTGTTCTTATGAATACTGCCCTGCGTCCCAATGTTCATACAATCCATCCTAAATAGTATGTGAGATTAGAATAAGTGTGTACCAAAGCATAGTATGTTGAAAAGAGTATGCCAAAAGCCCCCGGATGGTCTACTATTTCAGGTCGATTTTTGAAGTATAGATGGCCACTAGAAGGCAAGCCTGCAACCTTTAGCCAAAAAACTTTAACGACAAATGCTAACAGAAAGGAGACCAGAGGCTGTTTTTTTTTTTTTTTAATGGATGCCAATGGAGGAGAGGCTTCACTACGCTGAATAAACAGCTTTTTAGAGGAAACAGCTCATCATTTAATGAATCGACAGCCTATCTGCTAATCTTCAACATGTTTTTCCCTAAACAATACTTTTGGATTGAACTATTTTTAGTTTACACCTAAAAAAAAAATGCTGTTTTATAAGAGACGTCACTGACGTTTTGCGAAAGGTGGGATTCAGTTTACGGCACTTATTCATTCCTATGGTATCTGTAAATGGCGACCAAAAGTCCCCGGATGGTCTACTATTTCAGGTAGATTTTTGAAGTATGGATCGTGCCAAAGCCACTAGAAGGCAAGCCTGCAACCTTTTAGCCAAAAACCTTTAACGACAAATGCTAACAGAAAGGAGACCAGAGGCTGTTTTTTTTGAATGGATGCCAATGGAGGAGAGGCTTCACTACGCTGAATAAACAGCTTTTTAGAGGAAACAGCTCATCATTTAATGAATCGACAGCCTATCTGCTAATCTTCAACATGTTTTTCCCTAAACAATACTTTTGGATTGAACTATTTTTAGTTTACACCTAAAAAAAAATGCTGTTTTATAAGAGACGTCACTGACGTTTTGCGAAAGGTGGGATTCAGTTTACGGCACTTATTCATTCCTATGGTATCTGTAAATGGCGACTGAGTGTCGTACAACTCTAACTAAAAAATTAAATGATGTCAAGGCTGTAATGTGATTGGTTACAGACCCTCTCATCTCCCGTAAGACAATGGCTGCGTTCCAGTCCATTTTTTATGCCCTTCACTCGCAAACTTCCCTCCGTCTCGTTTACTCGGATGTACGTCATTGATTACGTTGCATGAGTGCCCACTTCTGGCGGAACCCTTGGAATGGGCTGAACTGGAACAACCTAAGGCCTTTATCACTTAGAATCAGCTATGGGGTTGGTTTATTGTTTAAATTTTTTCACTTATGAATTTGATTGGTGCAGCATTCTATATGTATATAGGTATGTTTGGGCTGTTATAAATGTTAAAAAAATCATTTATATATTATAGTTGTTTGGGTTGGGGATAAATTAAACGCGATCTGCGATGACGTCACAATCGTGTTGCATTGTGGTCTATGGAGCGGCCTGAAGTGTGCATATGAAGCAGACTCGCTCCCTCAGTCAAAATCGAGGGGTCGAGGGTCTGTCCATATAAACTTCCCTCATCCACTTCAGGAAGTGGAACGCACTTCAAAATGGCAGCGGGGATTCCCCCGAGAGGAAGTGCTTAGGGAAGTTTGCCAGTGCGTGTCTAAAAGTGGAGTGGAACGCAGCCAAGCTCTGTCCGTGCACACTCTAATGGCTAATATTGCCCACAATCCATTGCGCTTTGGCGAAGGATTTGGTCCAGAACTACAAACACAAATAAAGCGCTTTTTAAAAAACTACAAACATGGCGGATGTGCGCGACCCAGAGAGGTTTAGATAAAGGGGTTTGAGTTACTAATAATCAACATTTAACCTGGTAAAAAATATTTATTTAATGTTATCTGTGTTGTATTTTATCCGCAACAGCGATATGAACTTTTATAAACATCCGTTTGGTCGTTTCCTTTTAAATGCATCATTATGCAGAAAATATGAGCAGAGTTCTCGGCATGAAAAACCCGTGGCTGGCAGTTTTATACGATTAAAACTAATTTAACATGTAATTTGCATCTGCACAAATCATGTTTCCCTATTAATCATATTTAAAGAAGAGTCTTTTTAAGACAATAGATACTTTTTTTTTTTGCAAAAATAAATTCCTCTCAAAATTTCACGATTAAATTGAAGAATGCTAAAAATTGAAAATAAAAATACAAATCTTTATCATTACAGATAAACTAGTATTTTAAAATATTTTATATTTGTGTTTTTGTCAGTAAAAACATGATATAAGAAATATCAGAACCTCTTGCTCAGTCTGAGGTGGAACGAAACTGTTGAACACATTTTTATATGGTTTGATGCTTTAATTAGCCTACTACATTTCTTACAGGTTATCTTCATTTTGGAAATTACTCAAATGAAAAATACACATTTTAAGATTTTAATACTATTAGATTTTCATGTGAAACCATGAATATATGCAAGATTACAGTGTGGTAGCGCTCTTTACACACACACACACACACACACACACACACACCAGCAGAGAACTCAGTGACTTAATTAGCAAAACCTCATTGGCATAATTAGTGATTATAAAGCACAGCCCCCCACACACTTTACTGTGTTTTGTTTAGAGCTGTGAGTTTTGCATGCATTAACTTACTTAACTGTCCCTGAGCGAGCTGATTACAAGATGAGCAGAGCAAAATGAAAGAGAGGTCAAATTAGGCTGCTGAAAAAAAAAGTATTAAAATATCAATAGTGGTTCAATTTGCAGCATCTCTTAAAGAGTGGCCTTTTTTTCACCCAGCATGAATTAGTGTGATGAGGCTAACATCTTAACCTCCAGCTGAAGATTGTGTTTATTTTGTCTGAACAGTGCAGGGCTGGTCAATTAGAAAATAACTCTGCCCTGGAGCCTGTATGATGGAGACCTCTTCCCAGCAGAATTGGGCCATTAGGCCATAGAGGATAGAGTATAAGGTTAGGAGAGCATAATTCTCTCTTAAATAAATACTATTTGCACAGTTAAACCCACAGAAACCCCCTGCTGCTTCTGTAATGAAGCTGCTTGGTGCAGTTGAATCCACACACACACACATCCTATTAGCTTCATCGCCACATTCACTAGTGTAGCTGACTTGCATCTGTCCATCCAAGAATCTCATTTTATAATCAACTTTATTTTTTTTTTCTGTAATCCTTCACAAATTAATAGTATGTGAAACTCTCTCTCTCTCTCTCTCTATATATATATATGTGTGTGTGTGTGTGTGTGTGTGTGTCTGTATATGTATATGTATGTGTATATGTATATATATATATATATATGGTTTTATTTTATGAAGCAAATAATTAAAATGACAAATGCACATAACTAAATTACTAAAATCTACACTAAACAATAAAATAAAAGTTAATAAAATTCAAAATATTAATAAATACTATAATAGTATAGCCTATAATTTACACTAAAATAACACTATTTTATATAGTTTTTAAATGAACCAATTATTAGCACTTATTTTTAGATTTTTAATTAATTCTTTTTTTTCAAATATGTTGAGGCTGTGCACTATGCTTCATCTCCTAAAGATATCTTTCATTTATTTTATTTTTATTTTTTTTTGTATTCCTCTGCAAATTAACCACACAGACTAGTCATAACACTAAATGTGCCTCTTAGCCAACAGTTGTTTAGTTCTAAAAAATAATCAGCATCAGGCTTTTCTGAGCCCTTGCCAGTAACCCACTTATTATAAAGCGAGAGAGAGAGTGAGAGGGAGAGATAGGGAGCTAATTAAGCTGAATATACATGAATTGTGGCGCTGGGACTGAACACAAGTGAGATTTACAGATGACACGTCTGTTTTAGCGGCTGCTTTGACATCACAGGGAAATGGACGATCTGGATGATAAACATCTCATTTTGGTAATTTTTTGTATTTCTCCAAGGAGGTCCATAAAAAAGCTAGCCATTAGCATTTCCATTCATCTCAATGGTAGTTGCGTTCTAAAACATTACACTTGGTGAACATCATCTAGTGTTGGAGATACTAGACTGACCAGGTCAGTGTTGAGGATCACGCCGGGCAGCGTCTGTTTACAAGACTGTAAACTCAATTTTTCATCCGGGCGCTCTGCCAAACCCCATGAGCTACAGGACTGTGACACTCACCTACATGCACCACACACACATCCAATAGACTTCACTTCATTAAGTGGCCCATCACTGTGCTGCAGTGGTCAGCTGTTCGCCAGCGTCCACGGTGACTTTATTGTCCCCTGTGGAGGAGTGGATCAGATGCGGTGTGTCTGATGAAGCGGTGCCCTGCGGTGAGCCCGTGTGTCAGCCTGAGATCAGCACTGATGAGCAGCGTGCATGTGTGCTAACAGCGGATCGTGCAGGAGCGGCTCCAGGACTTGTGCCAGGATTTATGCTTGTCAGTTACTGGAGAGAAAGAAACTGAGACGCGGAAGAAGGAAATAACAATGAAGCCTGTGCTTAACAATTGGGTTTTAAGTATTTTGTGAAGCTAGAGTCATTCAAGTCAATGCAATTGGCGAAAAGTATAAGAAATGCATGTAACAAATGTTGCATTTTAATTTATTTGTTTATCTATAGGGGACTTATTTTTTATTATTAAGAATGAAACTTGCATTTAGTACCTTTTTCTTATTTATAGGCTGTCAGGGGTTGTTATGTGACTCTTTCTGCAGGTTACATCGTTGCGCCAGTAGGCAGAGACAAATGACTTATTTTATTAACGAGTCAGTTGAATCTTTCACTCAATCGATTCTTTCAAACACACTGAATAATTCCAGAATGAATGTCAATGAACGAGTCATTGAATCATTTAGGCAATTGTTTCGTTTAAACTTTAAAACATTAAATAATTTCAGATTGGTATTAAATGTTATATTTTAAACATTTTACAGTTCCCCGACCACGTCCACCTACGCAATCTTATTCATATTCACAATTAGAATTATCCCTTACGAAAATTAACCATTTTTACTACAAAAAAATAAAATAAAAAAAAAACCATGGTTACTATAGTTAAACCATGGTAACCACAAATTAACCATGGTTTTGCTACACTAACCATAGTTTAACTATGATATTTGTAGTAAAACTGTGCTTATACAAATGGTCATCAATATGCCAAAAAAACATGGTTACTACACTTTTACTACAATAAAACCATGGTTAATTTTCATAAGGGATAATGCAGCCAAAGATAATGTATGAGGAACATAAATGATTAGGCTACTTTACCTGCCGAGTCTTTTGTTAATTTGTCACGTGACAGGCGCAAATGAACGAACCTGCAAGATGCGGGACGGTTGATTCTGCTCTGGCGTTTGGAGGTGCAAAAACACACAAAATAACTGCCAACATCATGCCTAAAATGTAAGTTACTATATAAACGTACTGTTTATTGAAAAATATCTTAATTGCAATCGTGTTGTTGTTCTGTGATTACCTGCGGCCTTATGACTACAGAAGAATTACAGAATTAGAATTAGCCTACTTTTACTCACAACAACACTCTTGCTCGGAATTACTAGTCCTCCATACATATGCGTTCTGGTGATCTATTTGGCTGAGTGTTGTGTTCTTGGTTAAATCGCAGAGTTCTGTGTCCTCCTGTGAACACTGGTGACGGATTGCTGCTTCAAACAGCTAACATGGGACTAGTAAGCAGGGATAATTGTCTAACCCCACTAATCAGCTCCAAAGAGGCTATAACCTTACATGCAGACATGCACGTAGCATTTGCGTGTTGTGGAAGAAGGTTCATATCTATCCATCCATCCATCTGTACTACTGAATGCTGATGTAGTGCTTTGTTGTCAGGTATAAGTTAAGTATATGTAAGCTAGTGCACCGGTGTTGAGTTTGTCACAGTTAGCAGAGACTTGCTCCTGTGAATGATGTAGGTTGCCAAGAAAACAGCCTCATTTTTAGGTAAATTACTCTACTTGGCACTCGACAAAAGTGCAATTAGCTCACCAGTAGCCTGAGCCGAAGCACAATTAAAACCCAGAGGAGATTTGAAGGAGCAAAGAGGATCATGGGTATCTGACAGCTTGCTTGTTCCTAATCTCCTTGTTGCAGGGGGTCCCTCTTTGTGTAGTTCCCTCCGAACGCAAGCGACGAGGAGGAGATGGCTTTAATTATGCGGTTTGATCCAGAATATTCCACAAAGAACCATTTGGGACTTACCTTTTAAAATAATGACTTAAGAAAGCAAAAATCACTTGCATTCTTTAGTCCTGGCACTTTTCAGCATGTTTGCAATTATCTTGTCATCATCTCTTCTTTTCTCTTTAATGTGCCCTTTTCCACGTCCCATCACTGCTTTTGGTTTTCTGTTCTTGCAACTTTATGATGTATGTTGATACATTTCTTTGGCTGTGTTGCATTAATTGTTTTTTCCCACTTTAAACAAGATTTTGACAGCAACATTGGCTAGTGGAATTGAGGATCATATAGCATAGTGGTTCAGTAGTGATGTTTATATATTATTGCATATTCATAGAGGATATTTTAGTGTTTCTAGCATGTATTAAGGAAAGTACAGTAAACCCAAGTGTGATGAAGAGTGATGGTGTAGTATTTAATCATACTACTTATCATACTACTTAGTTCTTACCATAATACACCTCTAAATGTTTGTAATACACAGCATTTCTTTTTTTAAATTATTGTCTGATGTTTTTCAGACCCTACTGTGAAGTAATCAGTTATTGCTCCAGGTTTTGTGGGGTCTCTGACACTCCAAGCATAATAATGTTCAATGTAATTTTCATGGAGGACATTCGAATCATATTATTAAGGTCAAATTTTGATTATAAACAGTTCCTGTAAAATTCTGTGATCTTTCAAGCAAAAAATAAAATGCCACTGGGTTCTCTTATATCAGTGGCTCTCAAATGAAAACCAAAATATCAAAATCAAACTATAATTTCAACAGTATTTAAAAAAAAAATCCATATGAATGATTCATTTTTAGGTAGGTTAATTTTTGCCGTTTCAGACACTGGCAGGGACCATATGTGAATAATGGCAAGTTCCAGTATTTTGGATCATTACCCAAACATTCTTTTGTTAGTTGAAATAGCTGAAATAAAATATAAATATTAGATAAAAAACTTAAACTTTAAAAATTTAATTTTGCCTTATCAGCTGACTGAACTAAAATAAGTTAAAGTACTACAATTACTAAAAACAAAGATAAATAGATTAGATTACATAAACGTTATTGTCAGACTATAGTACAACATTTTACAATAGACATAGAAACAATAAATACAAAAGTATTCACAAACGTTTTAATGTTTCATGTACCTTATTCAGTTCTAGGACAGCCTGATGTACAAAAGAATGTTTTAATTTCACTCAATTAAATCTTGGGACCTTATATCGATGGTTAGATGGTAGAAGCACAATTTCATTATACAACACATGGCTAGGATTAGAAACAATATTCTTGGCCAGCCTTAAGAGGTTCCTTCATATAACTTTTCAAGAGGCTGTCCTACTATCCTAACAGTAAAAAAAAAAAAACAGAGTTAAGATTCCTTAACTTTGTTTTTAGCCTAACAGAGAAACTCATGTTCCAGACAGAATTGCAATACTGTAAGACGCTCATAATTACTGACATAAAGAATAATACAAGAATCTGTTTTGCTTCTCCAAATGACCTGAGACGACAAAGAAAATAAATTCTCTGCTTTGTCTTTTTACACAAACTGTCTATATGATCTTTCCATACTATCTATTGTTACACCTAAATACTATTATATACTTATATCTAAATTAAAATGAAAACTAAAAAGCAAAAAGAAGAAAATAATCAAAATAAGTATGGATACTGTAGTAGTATATTAATAATACTAAAATAACACTGTGTACCCAAGTAACACTGAACAGTTGATTCAATGTACAGTACAGTATATATTGAAGTTGTGGTTTATGTTCACCCAATCTTGCTCCTCTACTTTCTGGCAAGTTAGGAGTTTTCCTGCAAGTTTAGGCTTATGGTTAATTACCTGCTTCGGGTGTTTGGTAAAGTATGATTATATTTTAATCTAAACTTTGCTGGAAGGTAAATGCAACTATATAGGATTGAAATGAGTTGGACAATAGTTAGTTTATGGCCGAAGTGTTGCATTCAGATGCCAGTGACATTATACAGCTATTTCCATAGGAAACAAGTGCAAATTCCATCCAGAAAATGTTTTCAGTTCAAAATACTGTCAACTGTAGAGAAGAAAATGTCTAAGAAAGTTAGATAAGCAGTGACTGTTGGGCTAGTGGCATGGATTCTGTAGTGACACATTCTGTGAGGGCTAGTTCAACATGGCTGTTTACCATTTGAGAAACCTTAATGTCTGTTTTCTGACTCCTTCAGTGAATTTTCAGTGAATAACAGCTTAAATTCTCACACAAGTCTATCTTACAACTTCAGAAGCTTTTGATTGTAGTGCATGAGTTGTATGGAGCAGTTTTATAGTGAGCCTATATTGTTTAAAGGGGGCATAACACACACAGTTTCACCCAATCTCATGTTAATCTTGAGTACCTATAGAGTAGTACTGCATCCTTCATATCTCCAAAAAGTCTTTAGTTACCCGTGCAGCACTGCCGCTGGATGAAGAGCGTTGATGGGTGCGATCTCGCTCTTGCTCTGGTCGATGCGGGCGCGCTCTTCTGGGAGAAATGCCCATATAATGAGTTCCACCCTCGTTTACGTCATTAAGAGCCACGATCGAGAAAAAAAATTATCCGAAACTTGTACGAACCCGGAAGTACGATTTTTGGCACAGAAATACTCCGTCATACGTCCAAATTGTTTTTTTGAAACTTTGTCCATGCTTAGCATGAGAATCCAACTCTTTAACATTGTAAACAACTCTGAATGCATGAAACAGCATTGTGCCCCCCCTTTAAGACAGCATAGCATATTCCTTTGCCTACTGCATCTGTATATTGGTAACTGCAATGCAGTCTAAAGAAAGTTGTTTCTCTGCTTAAGTTTTCTTACGGATGTGGGTTTGTGTCTTTGCACCCTGCACACCCTGTTCACGCTTGTGTGTATGTGAGAAAAAGCCTCTACTCATTTGAAAGGCTGAAATAGGTTTGTGTGTCTGTGTGCTAGAGCAGTGAGATCTCATTAACGGAGAGAGTAAGGCAGACTGGTCGAGGCACTCATCCAAACAGTCTCAGAGCAATCATCCTCCCACGACTGCCTGCAGAAGCTCACAGCAAATTAAATCTCTAATGGATATCGATCAGATACCTTCTAATAAACCCACTGCTATCATCCTATCGCAGCCTTCATTCGCCTTTCTCACACATACAAGTGTTTGTGTGGCTTCCAGACATACAGTGTTGCTTTACCTTAGATGTTTTGGAGAAAAAAAAACAGCAAAAGCAGAAATCTCTGCTGTCAGCTCAAATAAC